TTTGGGTCATTGTCGATAGGCTGACCAAGTCAGCGCATTTTATTCCTGTCGCAGCCACTTATTCATCAGAGAGATTAGCTGAGATCTACATCCGAGAGATTGTTCGCCTTCACGGGGTGCCAGTATCTATCATTTGTGACCGGGGTACGCAGTTTACCTCACGCTTCTGGAGAGCAGTTCAGCAGGAGTTGGGCACCCAGGTTCAGTTGAGCACAGCGTTCCATCCTCAGACGGACGGCCAGTCCGAGAGGACTATTCAGATATTGGAGGATATGCTCCGAGCCTGTGTCACTGATTTTGGAGGCTCGTGGGACCAGTATTTGCCCTTAGCAGAGTTCTCCTACAACAACAACTACCAGTCCAGCATTCAGATGGCTCCATATGAGGCGTTGTATGGTAGGCGATGTCGGTCTCCAGTCGGATGGTTTGAGCCGGGAGAGGCTCGGTTATTGGGAGCAGATATAGTTCAGGAGGCCTTGGATAAGGTCAAGATCATTCAGGACAGGCTTCGTTCGGCTTAGTCGCGGCAAAAGAGTTATGTGGATCGTAAGGTTCGCGATGTAGCTTTCATGGTTGGTGAGCGGGTCTTGCTCGAGTGTCGCCTATGAAGGGCGTGATGAGATTTGGGAAGAAGGGCAAGCTTAGCCCTAGGTTTATTGGCCCATTTCAGATTCTCGATCGTGTGGGAGAGGTGGCTTACAAACTTGCCTTGCCGCCCAGCTTGTCAGCCGTGCATCCAGTGTTTCATGTGTCCATGCTTCGGAGGTATCACGGCGATCCAGCCCACGTGTTAGATTTCAGCACTGTCCAGTTGGACAAGGATCTGTCTTACGAGGAGGAGCCGGTAGCTATTCTAGACCGGCAGGTTCGACAGTTAAGGTCGAAGAGTTTTCCTTCAGTGCGTGTCCAGTGGAGAGGTCAGACTCCTGAGGCATCGACCTGGGAGTCCGAGTCTGATATGCGGAGCCGCTATCCTTGTCTATTTCCCGACTCAGGTACTTCTTTCTTTTGTCCGTTCGAGGACGAACGGTTGTTTTAGAGGTGGAGAATGTGACGACCCAAAGGGGTCATCACCTGTTTTCTCTTTCATCCCATGCTTCCGAGGCCTTGAAAACCTCATTTTTCTTGCCTCGATTTGCGTGCGCAGTCCGGGCGCGTCGCCAGAAAGATTATATGTTAAATTTTGTGAAAAATTTCAAAATGTGGCTTTAAAATGATTAAAGTTGACTTTGGTCAACACTTTTGGTAAACGGACCTGGACCCGTGATTTGTCGGTCCCGGAGGGTCCGTAGAAAAATATGGGACTCGGGCATATGCCCGGAGTCGAATTCCGAGGTCTAGAGCCCGAGAAAAGAATTTTTCTGTGAAATTGTTTTTCTGAAATTATTAAGGAAAATGGAAATAAAAATTGATTAAAAGACTGTGGTATCGGGCTCGTATTTTGGTTCCGACACCCGGTACAAGTCTTATATATGGTTTAAGCGCTTTCTGTGAAGTTTGGTCGAAATCGGACGTCGTTTGACGTGTTTCGGACCTAAATATCTAAAGTTTGAAGTTTATGAAGATAGAATAAAAAATGAGGATTTTAAGGTTTGATTCATTGATTTTGATGTTGTTTTGGCGATTTGATCGCTCGATTAAGTTCGTAGGAGGTTGTTGTGTTAGTGTGTATGTTTGGTTGGGAGCCCCGAGGGCTCGGGAGTGATTCGGAGGTGGTTCAGGGTGTTTTAAAACTTAGGAGAAGGATCAGATTTTTCTGCATTTTCTCAGACCCTTTTTGTTCTTCGCGAACGCGGCCTCAGGCTCGCGTTCGCAGTGCTTTGGTGTCCCCCCCTCTTTCGCGTTTGCGGCCCCCTTCCCGCGTTCGCGTAGTTCTTTTAAACCCTTCACCACGTTCGCGTCTACCTCCTCGCGTTCGCGTAGACCAACCCCCAGGACCCCCCACCGGTTTCCCCTTCGCGTTCGCATCACCCCATCGCGAACGCGATTCCTCCAGTCCCCCTTCATCGCGAACGCGACCTCTGTGTCGCGAACGCTTAGAGTAAAACCCTTCAGTGATTTTTTAAGTTTAAAAACAGAATAGTTACGGGATTCACTCCACTTTTCCACACGCCGACCACTTATATATTATGAAATGGGATCGTGTGGCACGCCGACCACTTATATATTATGAAATGGGATCGTGTGGCACGCCGACCACTTATATATTATGAAATGGGATCGTGTGGCACGCCGACCACTTATATATTATGAAATGGGATCGTGTGGCACGCCGACCACTTATATATTATGAAATGGGATCGTGTGCACGCCGACCACTTATATATCATGAAATGGGATCGTGTGGCATGCCGACCACGTATTCTGTGTTAGAAGAGATTGGTGGTAGTTTTCCTTATTGTTCCTACCGTTCTATTTTATCTGTTATCCCCAAAAGTATGTTCCCCTCCCAGTCATAATTATTACTTTCCGCTGTTATTTTTTTTGTAGTTCTTGTATATAAATATCTGCATAGGTTGATTGGTAGTCCTGTCTAGCATCGTCACTACTTCGCCGGGGTTAGGCCAGGCACTTACCAGCACATGGGGTCGGTTGTGCTGATGCTACACTCTGTGCATCTTTTTGCACAGATCATAGTACCGGAGCAGGAGCTTTTGGACAGCAGTAGGAGCGTTGGGAGCTTACTTCAGTCCGGAGATTCCCGAGGTAGCCTTGCTGGCGTCCGCATGGCCCGAAGTCTCTCTTATCTCTGTTTTTCGTTTGATTTCCTTTGTATCGGATCAGACAGTACTGTATTCTTATTCAGACTTTGTATTAGCATTCAGTAGAAGTTCGTGAGTTAGTGACATCAGATCTGGGTAGAGGTGTATTTGAATTTCCGCACTTGGTTTCAGTTATTTATGTTTCGAGACTTTCGCTTTTATATTAATTGCCTCGTTCTTCTTTATACTGTTAATGATGTTGAGAGAAGTATTAAATTAATTGGCTTGCCTAGCTCCTATTAGTAGGCGCCATCGCGACTCCCGAGGATGGGAAGTCCGGGTCGTGACATAATATTACAAATATTGTTAAATTTAATTTTATACTACAAAAGCAAGATTACCGAGTCACGTTTAGTGTGTTAAATTAGGAGTAATACTGTAACAAATTTAGTTAAATTATGAGGTAAAAAAATAATTATTTAGTATTTCTTGAGGGCTTACACAACTTTTCCAACCATTTCATTAGAACAAATGATAAGGAAAAAATATAGAATAAAGTTATGGAAACAGAAGGTAAATGCTTAAAGATAATTTCACAAAGATAGGACTTTTTTTCTTATTCTTTTGACTGAAAGGTTAAGTTGACTTAATTGAATTCTAATAATCCCTTAATCACGTGACCAACTAGCCCGGTCATATTAATGATGACTATAACTATAGTAAGATTCTTCTGGACCACAACAATTCTTTTTAATTATAACATACCGCTTTCATTAATGTTTTTTAGGATAGGGAGTGCAATTTTTATGTTGTCCACAGTAATTATCTCTTATACTGAAATTCACCGACGGGTGAACTGAAACAAATAGAAAGATATATTTTTAATAAATTTAATTTGTAAATCAGTGTATATTGTAGTTATTTAGAAATAGACCATTTCTAGTTCACCAATTTGAGTAGTATTTTACGTGTAATAATTTTACTTCATAAAACTTAATTTTTTTTACGTGAAATTCATGTGGAAACAAAGAGGATTCATAATTATGAACTTATTGAGTGTGAGTTCGGGATTCTAACACAATACATTCAGTTTATCTGTTTTGAAAACTTGCCATTTGTATTTATTTATTGAATTATTTATATGTGTATATTATTTAAGTTATAATTATTGGATTCGCATGATGATATGTATGCTATATTATGCAAATATAATTTTTACTTCCAATTTGTTTTTCCTTTAAATTCAACTTGTATTTAAAGTTTTCTTTTTCTTCAATTTTAATTAACAACCTGTTTGGATGGTTGTTCCCATTGTATCGTATTGTATTGTTATCCCAAAATAATGTTTGTTTTGATTGTTTCATTAAAATTGGTTGTATTGTATTGTTAAATATATTGCTCCGAAACAATAAAAAGCCTCCTTTTTGAAACAACCGATTTGGTGTGGTGGGATTGTTTTCTATTTTTCTTTCCAATTATGCCCTAACTTGTTACTCTATAATTCTATTTATCCTTTTAGCTTTTTTTTGCTATTTTAACTCCAAATCTCCAACTTCAACAATTAGTTGTGTTCCTTTATTTTGCCTTCTTCTGCCTCACTCCTTTGTTCTGCTTTCTTAAGGTGTTTTGCCTTCTTCTGTTTTATTTTTTAAAATTATTTTTATGCATATTTTTGATAAATTTAATATTTAAACAATTGAGGGTATTTTAGTAAAAAGTACAGTACGATACAGTCAAACCAAACAGCAAAATATTATTTAACAATAATAAATAATATAATCTATTTAAATATTATATTCATAAAACAATACGATATAATACAATATAATAAATTATAAAACAATGAAGAACAATAATCCTGTTGTGCAAAGGCGAACTGCGAAGTAATTTGCAGTGGGAAGCGTGTGGGAAGATAGATAGTGGGACCAAACGTGAACTACATTGATAATCCACTGTAAAAAAGGATGCAGCCTTTCACACGGAATCACAAACAGAGCCTCTAGCGGTCTATCAAGTCCCTTGTTTGAATTATGATAATCCGGTGTACAAATTATCTCACGTTCGTATAGAAATTCGGAAAATGTTATCCTAAAGATATAATGTAGTTAATCTATTCTAATGTAAATATCAACAACAAATTGTAGAACTTGAAATCATAACCTATAGATCAAACGCAGATAACTTTATCTTTAGTTCCTTATCTTTCTTGTTTGAACCATGTCAAAGAGCAGAATTATTTTACTCTTTTTTTATTTTATTTATTTATTTTTATATAAGTAGGGAAGAGAGAGGAAAAAGGATGATGAGTCATGACTTTTCTTGTATCTGCAAAAAACCAACTGCATCCACCTCCCATCATACTTGTCTCACTATAGATCCAGCTTTTCTCTAAATTTTCCTTTTTGCTTTTGAGTACAATTTCACTTCAACCAAAACACAGTTCAAGTTTCAGCTTCTCTTCCTCAGCTACGGCTGCTTAATCTCCAGTAGTTAAATGGAGCAAGAGATGACTGAGCTTCTTTCTTTAGATCAATCAATTAAAATGGAGGATTCAGAACAGCAGCAAAAACAAACTTCTCCTCATTCTTCTTCTATTCCTATTAAAAGTAGATCAAAGGGTGGCCTCATCACTATGCCTTTTATTATAGGTACCATTTTTTTTTTTTGTTCTGTTTATTTTTACTTCTTTGTTTCTGGGTATACATATAATTTTTTTTTTTTTTTTTTTTGGATTCTGTTGATTACAGCAAATGAAGCATTGGAGAAAGTGGCAAGCTATGGACTTTTACCCAATATGACATTCTATTTAATGAAGGATTATAGGATGGAAGTTATTACTGCTCAAAATTTACTGTTTTTCTGGTCATCAGCTACAAATTTCTTGCCTTTAGTTGGTGCTTTTGTTGCTGATTCATATCTGGGTCGATTCCTCGCCATTGGCATTGGTTCCATCTTCAGTTTCCTGGTAATTAATTACTACTAAGTGTATTAATTATCTTTTGTTAATTAGTGTTTTCGAGTTGTCGTTTGGGTCGAGGGACAGCTAATTGATCTGATGGCGACCCACCATTTATTTACTTAATGACTATTTTTATTAGTATTTAGTTATAAATTTGTGAATTTAAAGAGTACATCCTAGTTTTAACTTTTATGTCGCCTATATTTAATGGGTTTAGCTCAGTTTACGACAATTTTTCTTTTTTTAGTTTAGCTTTAACTGGAAAAACTTGATTTTTCGGTGGTCAAGGAACATGACGAGAGCGATGTTACGTTTTGATAAGTATTTTTGTATTATGGAACCACCGTTTGTCTAATTTAAAATTTTATAAAATGCGTTACTGTTGTCCGTTACACTGACATTCTTCATTTTCTTTATGTCTTTTCTCCTTGTTAATGGAATTTATTAATTATATTTCCGAAGAAAGTGCTAATCCTTATTACTACTGCCGAACGTCTTAATCCTGACAAAATAATTATAATTTTTAGCTTCTCTTATTGCATTCGGAGGATCCAATGCAGTCTAAACTTTTGAAAATTACTGTCTTTACTGTCCTATTTGCTGCTACAAATTTTTAGTTTCTTAATTACAGCAGCTGATTTACCCACCATTTCTTTTAATCAGTTAAATTCTATTACTGTAAAGGCCAATTTACCCACCAAATCTTTTAGTTAAGTAATTTATTTAACGTACTGTATCTTTTATATTTGGTCTTGGCCGGTGGAGTTATCTCGCCAAAATTTCACGGTATAGCCAGTTTTCGGACTGGTCAATCAAAAATAGCCAGCGTTTACCAAGTCAATTAAAAATAGCCATCGTTTTGCTGCAATAAAGATCGGTCTAGCATAATATACTGGAGTTCGGTGCACTTGTGTATGAATTCCAGCATATTATGCTGGACCGGTATACTTTGCTGGCTCCAGTATAATATACTGGAGACTGGAGCACTGGTGCTCCAAACTCCAGTATATTATACTGGACCATTATACTTGCTGGAACTCCAGTATATTATGCTGGAGTTCTAGTGTATTTATGCTGGAACTCCATCATATTATGCTGGAGTTCAAGTATACTTATACTGAAACTCTAGCATAATATACTGGAGTATTTTCCGGGTTTTGAACAGTGTTTTCGCTCAGATTTATCTTTAAATAAAAAGTGGCTAAATTTCGATTACTTTTGAAATTGGGCTATTTTTGAACGACCAGTTGTAAATCTGGCTATTTTTTAAAAATCACCCTGGTTATTTTTTAAATTACTAGTTGAACGGCTTAGCTCTATGTTATTATATCAGTTAGTAAATCCTAATGATGGGGATATTGCTTGTATTGTAACATGGTTTTCTATTTGAAAGCGCTAAGGGGTTGTTTGGTTGGGAAACAAGTTGTCTCAACATTAATTATTTTGGGATTGTTATCCCACCCTCCCATAGGGATAGAATAATACTACAATCCCGGGATTAGTTATACCGCAATTTTACCCCAAACAAATGTCCAAACAAATGTGAGATAAACTCATCTCAATTTTAATCCCTAGGATTAATTATGCCTTATCCCTGTCACCACTTAACCATGCGCTTTTGCAATTGTGGGTTTAGATTTTTAAACTAATGTAAACTTTTAGTGATTTTTGCAGGCGTGCACACACATATATATAACTTCCATGTAAAAAATGATGGGTTCAGTTGAACCTGTTGATTATACATTACATCCGGCTATGTCCATAAGACAAGACAATTGTAGTTAACTTACCAACTTTTAACACTTTAATCCCTCTTTTGTCGCAGGGAACTACTGTATTGTGGTTAACAGCAATGATTCCGAAAGCAAGGCCACCGCCTTGCAATCAAGTAGGGCAGGCCTGTAAATCTGCCACAGCATCGCAATTCATGCTCTTGGTCTTTTCATTTCTGCTCATGTCAATTGGTGCTGGTGGTATAAGACCATGTTCTTTAGCCTTTGGTGCTAACCAGTTTGACAAGAGAGATAATACCAACAACCAAAGGGTGTTGGAGAGCTTCTTTGCCTGGTATTATACTTCATCCATAGTATCTGTTCTCATCGCCTTGACGGGTATCGTTTACCTTCAAGATAAGATGGGCTGGAAAATAGGTTTTGGAGTTCCTGCAATTCTCATGTTCTTATCCGCGTTGTTTTTCTTCCTTGCTTCTCCTTTTTATATCAAGCACAAGGTCAAATCAAACTTGTTTAGCAGCTTTATTCAAGTAATTGTAGTTGCCTACAAGAATAGGAAACTCTCATACCCTATTCAGAATTCCGATTACCATCACAAGAATGGTTCAGAACTTCAAGTGCCAACGGAGAAATTGAGATTCTTAAACAAAGCTTGTATCATTAAGAGCCCTGAAGATGTTAAGCCAAATGGAGTTGCAGTCAACCCGTGGAACCTTTGCACAGTGGAGCAAGTTGAGGAGCTAAAAGCCCTCATTAGGATCATGCCACTGTGGTCGACGGGGATTATGATATCGATAAACTTAAGCCAAAGTTCATTCCCTTTACTGCAAGCTCAATCCATGGATAGACATCTAACAAAAAAATTTCAAATTCCAGCTGGCTCATTTGGTATGTTTTTGATGGTTGCATTAACAATTTGGGTTTTTCTCTATGACCGTGTGATGCTTCCATTGGCATCGAAAATCAGAGGAAGACCAGTTCGTCTAACACCTATAGTGAGAATGGGAATTGGCATATTCATCTCTTGCATGTCTATGTTAGTCTCTGGTATCGTGGAACATGTTCGACGAAGAAGAGCAATAAACCAAGGGCTCTTGAACAACCCTGAGGGGTTGGTGGAAATGTCAGCAATGTGGCTCATACTGCAAAATATTTTGAATGGGATAGCCGAGGCATTCAGTGCAATCGGCCAAACAGAGTTCTATTATTCTGAGCTCCCGAGGAGTATGTCAAGTCTCGCGTCTGCACTCTTAGGACTAGGAATGGCAGTGGCAAATCTTTTAGCAAGTGTGATCCTGAGTGCTGTGGATAAGCATACAAAAGGAGAAGGGAAAGAGAGTTGGGTTTCAAGCAGTATAAATAAAGGTCACTATGAGTATTACTACTGGCTTCTTGCTATTATGACAGCTTTTAATCTGATTTATTTCATGGTTTGTAAATGGGCATATGGACCCTGTGCTGACGTTGACATCACTAAGAGAATGTTAGAGGTTAGTGATGATGATGACAACATGTCTAGTCATGGCTTGAATTCGCGCCAAGCTAGTTGTTAAATAGTGTATACATAGTACTAGTAGTAGTATTTATACGGAATCATATATTACCAAGTGCTTCTAGATTTTTTGATTACTCTTGTTATATTGTTAGCTTTGCCTCATTTTCTTTTAACCTCTCGACCCCCCCCCCCCAAACCACAACCAGTTGAGATTTTTTTTAAATATACAGCCCAACACACCCCTTGTGTTGTGTTAGGGAAGCTTTGCCACTAATGTTTGTTGTTTATGTTTACCCTTAAAACAGATAACAATTAAATTTATATGCTGTTTTTAAGAAATGTGGATTGATTCAACAGATTATATAAATGAGTGAAAGATAAAATGAATAATCAACCCAAGAATTTCTGCCCTTGGTTGAATCCTTGGTTCGAAGCTAATTGAGTATGAATGGTTCGAAGCTAATTGAGTATGAAGAACAACAGTAAAATAAGAATTTTTCAATAACTAGAAAGCGTAAAAATGAATTTGTATTGTCTTGGTATGCGTGTTACAAAAATGTGTTTTTCATATAAAAGCTTCCTCTTTGTATAGTAGGAGAATTTTATTCCTAGTATAAATCTAAAAAAGGTAAAAATCTTTCTTTCTCGTTAATTATTGATACGTAACCAATATTAGGCGAAATTTACGCAGTGATATCCGGTTGGGTGTAAATATTACGGTCCTCTTCTAGTCGTGTGCAACCGTTTGCCATATTTTCCGAGGTCTTGGAGCAACTCGTCTTGGTGTTCCAATAGAATGTGCAAACCCAGTTTTAAGAGAATTCATTATAAAGCCCATAAAAATTTGCTTACAGAAGTTTTGTGAGCACTCACAAAGCAAGGAAAGAGGTTGAACCTTCAATAAAAGTGCTACACAGAGAAAATAACAGAGGAAAGATGCCGAGTTGACGCAAGGGAAAAGATTATTGGTCAAAGTATGTGTTTATCCCAACAATGCAACTTTCTAATTTAGAAGAATTTAGATCTAAATTCATCGGCAAATATTTTTCTCTACGTTTATGTTTCGCAATGACGAAAAATAAAGCACATAGACAACATGTTTTCTTCATTTGACTAACTTCATGTTCCAATTTCAACGGGAATACCAATGTTGACATAAGAGTCTTGGTCACGATAGAGGGATCGAAACGGATAAATGAACCATACACTATTAATATCGTCTATAACGAAGTATTAGGCGAAATACGTTTTGTTATATGTTTGTACCTCATAGGTAAAAATAATCTCATGTGCCTATTTAAACTTTGATTCCACTTTGTAGGTTTAGACAATATTTAATTATCTTGACCTCGATAAACAAGTCACCGCAAGATGATCCACATGATCATTCATAAAAACTTGTAATTTATTCTTTCACGTATAATGATTTACTTAAAACAAATTCTAGTAATATTATATTATTTTACAAAAGAATATACTTATATGATTCGACATACACCTTACGTAACAAGAAAGCAAAAGTATAAATTTTTGAAGGATAGTGATTACAACGTCAAAGCCTCACTTTTCTGTTCTTGCGCTTCCAGTCTGATTTTAATGGCCTTATAATACTATGATGCATTAATTTGGGAATAGATTTTCATTGATCTGAAGAAGGAACTATTTCCGTTTGATAGTTCAATTACTTATATTCAAACACTATGCTTTTACTTAGGAAACTAGTTATAACATACAAATCAAAGGCGGCCCTTCCATAAAGCAAGTAAAGCAACTGCTTTAGTTCCACATTTGTGGAGATCCCATTTTTTGTTACACCTAATAGGCTATGTATAAGTTTAAAAAAAATATGAAGTGAAAAAGTTTGATTTCTTTCTTTAACAAATATAGAGAAAAAGGATTTGCAATTGCTATGATTTTTGCCAAGGAAATTGTACTTGAAATGAATATCGAACCCCAATTTCGTAATAAACTTGTGTTATATAGGAAATAATAATTTGATGAGAATGTTGATAATGAAATCTCAAGATCTTTCGAAGAGTCCTTTAGAGGATGTATTATTCACATTGCATTTGATGGTCAGAGGCGAATTGAAAACTAAGCAGTGGGATTCCCCGCGGAAAAAATAGAGATGTCTTCTACGTTCACTACTAGAAATCCAAGTGACCACAAAAAGCGACCAAAGTTGGTCGCTTTCAGGGCAAAAAGCGACCAAACAGGGCTGGTCGATATTTTGCTGGTCCCTTTACCTTAGGGACCAAAGTTGGTTAATAATTGTGATGACCCGAAGGGGTCATCACTTGTTTTTCCCATTCATTCCGCGCTTCCGAGGCCTTGAAAACCTCGTTTTAATCGCCTCAATTTGCGAGCGCAATCCGGGCGCGTAGCCGGAAAGCTTAAATATGAATTCTGTGTGAAAAATGATGAATTTTGATATTAATATGATTAAAGTTGACTTTGGTCAACATTTTGGGTAAACGGACCCGAACCCGCGATTGGACGGTCCCGGAGGGCCCGTAGAAAAATATGAGACTCGGGCATATGCCCGGAGTCGAATTCCGAGGTCTAGAGCCCGAGAAATAAATTTTTCTGTGAAATTGCTTTTCAGAAATTTATCAAGGGAACTGGAAATGAAATTTGATTAAAAGACTGTGGTATCGGGCCCGTATTTTGGTTCCGGCGCCCTGTACAAGTCATATATATGGTTTAAACGCTTTTTGTAAAGTTTGGTTGAAATTGGACGTCGTTTGACGTGTTTCAGACTTAAAATGGAAAATTGATGTTTTATGAAAATTGGGAAGAATTCATGAGTTTTGAGGCTTGATCCGTTGTTTTTGATGTATTTTGGCGATTTGATCGCACGGGTAAGTCTGTAGGGTGTTTTTGGAGTTATGTGTATGTTCGGTTTGGAGCCCCGAGGGCTCGGGTGAGTTTTGAGTAGGTCCCGAGAGATCTTAGACTTGGAAATAACAGATGTTGCAGGTTCAGGGAGTTGCAGGCTCCAGCGCGCCCGCGGTCGCCTTAGCGCGGTCCGTGGTGCATGCTGCGCGGACGCAGTCGCCTTAGTGCGGTCCGCGGTGGAAGCTGCGTGGTCCGCGTAGCTAACTTCAGAGAGCCAGCATTTCCCAGGTCTACCAGCGCGGCCGCGTTCCCCTTTGTGCGGTCCGCGCCGGAGAGTTCAGAGAGTGGTATTTGTGCAGTTCTTCAGCGCGGCCGTGGTCCATTTTTTGCGCGGCCCGCGCTGGGTCTTCAGAGGGTATATAAGGTCGGGAATTTCAGTCATTTTTCACTTTTTCAAAACCCAAAACATAAGAGGCGATTTTCCAAACGATTCTTCTTCTCCAAAACGATTGGTAAGTGATTTCTAACTTATTTTCTTTACTCCTTAACATCTTTAAACATAATTTCAACTTCAAAACAAAGATTTTAATGGGGAAATTTGGGAATTTTGGGTAGAACCTAGCTTTTCTAAAATTGGGGATTTTAGACCTCAATTCGAGGTCCGATCCCAAAACAAATTGTATATTTGGGCTCGTGGGGGGAATGGGTGATATGAAATTGGTTCGAACCTCGGGTTTTGACCAAGCGGGCTCGGGGTCGATTTTTGAAATTTTGGGAAGAAAGCTTAGAAAACTATATTTAGGCATTGGGTTTGATTTGTTCAGCTTATATTAATGTTGTAAGGTCGTTATTTCATAGATTTGATTGAGTTGGAGCCGAATTTGAGAGGGAAGGCGGTCGTTGTGGATTGAATTAGCTGTGGAAGTTGAGGTAAGTGTTTGGTTTAACCCTAGCTTGAGGGAATAGGAGTTGAGTCTTGTTTGCTATTTGCTAATTGATCGAGTACGATGTATAGGCATGGTGACGAGTATTTATACATTGGTGTCTAGCATGACCGTGAGTCCTTAAAGGGTGATTATTATGATTTGTTATGAATTCCATGTTAATTGAGGATTTCTATATATTGTAAAGAACATGTGAAAAATATTATAATCATTTGATTTTCGTGGTGTTTTGGCTTGGTTGTGATACGAATTGAAAAAGTATCTGAGATTATAAGATTCATGGGAGCATTGGCTCAAGTGATATAGTGAGATGTGAAGTAAGAAACGAAAAAAAGCTAATGAGTTATTGGTTATTCCCTTGCCGGGATGTTTTGCTATTTGGTAGACTTTTCTCCCTTGCCGGGATATTCAAATTGTAGTTATTGTTCCCTTGCCGGGATTCCTATTTTGTTTGTCTATTCCCTCGCCTCATCGTTTGTGATTGTTGTATGGGTGAGGACGAGTGATGAAGCACGAAGGGTGATGCCGTGCACGATTGTGATATGAATACTAATGCACGAAGGAACATTCCGTGCCATGATATGATTACTAATGCACGAAGGAACATTCCGTGCCATGATATGAGTGTTTATGCACGAAGGATCATTCCGTGCCATCATTTTGTGAGGTAAAGCACGAAGGGTGATGCCGTGCACTTTATATGATTGTTTGGGTGAGAATTAGAGTAAAAGCACGAAGGATGGTGCCGTGCAACTGTTGATTTCCTACTATCGTTGCTATTGTAGTTGTACTGTTTCATTCCTTAATTATTGATTTCATACCTGAACTATTACAGCCCCTACAGCATGCTCCCCCTCCCCCTTGACTGGTTAATTTCTGTATACCTTTATATTGCATACATATATATATTGAACTGCACATGTTTGCTTGGTAGTCCGGTCTAGCCTCGTCACTACTTCGCCGGGGTTAGGCCAGGCACTTACCAGCATATGGGGTCGGTTGTGCTGATGCTACACTCTGTGCATTTTTTGCATAGATCACGGTGCCGGAGCAGCTTTTGGACAGCAATAGTAGATTTGGGAGCTGACTTCAGTCCAGAGACACCAAGGTAGCCTTGCTGACGTCCGCAGGCCCGGAGTTTCTTCTATCTTTACTTTAGTTTGTTATCCTTTGTACCGAATCAAACAAAACTATGTTTATATTCAGACATTGTATTTAGCATTCTCTAGACGTTCGTGAGTTTGTGACTCCAGTCCTTGGGTAGAGTTGTATTGAACTTCCGTTTTTCTATTAAATGTTTTGTTGTTTTTATTAATGTCGAGGTTTGCTAAGAAAGATATTAGCTAATTGGCTTGCCTAGC